TCAGTATATAATGCGTAGAATTGATTAAAATAGTTGTGTATTGAATTCAAGCGAAATCAAGTGAATAATTTTATATGCAAATAAGAAAAAATATATAAAAGAACTAAGAACTCTGTCATTAATCATGCAACCAATCAAACAGGGCAGTTTGGTTTGAGAAAATAATCAAAGACGATAATTAGGGAAATCATTTGCCCAGATGAATGATTTTATAGCTAGTGCATGAGAGTTGAAAATTGACATTTTCAGGCTGATTATTAGCCATATAATTCTCTGACATTTTGTGCCTTAATTCAGGCATACATTGTTAGTATTATTGACTGTGCTATTACAAATAATATAATATTCATATTGATTCAAATTACATGATTGATAGCTTAACATTATTCAGTATTCTTAAAGTGTTCATTATTCTGTTATTAACCGTAACCAGTGTTCACTATTCAGATTTTAACCTATACCAGTATTCACTATTGTTTTATTTTCTTTACCAGTGTTGACTTTTCTGTTGTTATCCTTTACCAGTGTTGAGTTTTCTGTTGTTTTCCTTTACCAGTGTTGACTTTTCTGTTGTTATCCTTTACCAGTGTTGACTTTACTGTTGTTATCCTTTACCAGTGTTGACTTTTCTGTTGTTATCCTTTACCAGTGTTGACTTTTCTGTTGTTATCCTTTACCAATGTTGACTTTTCTGTTGTTATCCTTTACCAGTGTTGACTTTTCTGTTGTTATCCTTTACCAATGTTGACTTTTCTGTTATTATTCTTAACCAGTGTTGACTTTTCTGTTATGAACCTTAACCAGTCTTAATTATTCTGTTATTTCTGAATTGATTCTGTAAAAAACTTTTAAGTGTTAAAAACCATCCCCAGTTTTTGATATGTTGTTCCTCACACTATTACTTTATTTTTTTTAAAGTAGCTGTAACATTATAAACACATTCCTAATTCTGTTTCACAAACATGTTTCTTGCTCAAATAAACTGTGACTTGCCCCTGACGGTTTTTGAGCCTACATGGCAAGTAGTGTGACACTTGAACCCTTGAGCAGTTGAGCCATTCCACCAATAGAACTGACATACTGGTAATTTAGTTTAGTTTATAAGAATTTATTTAGTTTGATTGTGTTGGAAGCTTAAAGCTTATTGAAACACTCTTGAATCTGTTCCTGGAACCCATTTGTACTAAGCATTGAGTGTGAAGTGAATCCTCGCTTGCAGAAATGACAGCTTGCCTCTGACGGGGTTTGAACCCAAAAATTTATGATGGATAGTTCTAAAAAAATGGGAAGCATGACAAATCAGTGTTACTGTATAATACAGTAAGATATGTAGTAAGTTAAAGTTTATTTAGAGACTATTTCTGTTGAACATTCTTTATTTGTACAATCATGTATACTCAAAGGAAAACATCTCTTTTATAAATTTCAAAGATATATATGTATAACTTGTTCGTAAATCTGTCTTGTATATATTCTATGGGGATCAAGTGCACAACAATGACAGACTATTGATTTACATGTAGCTGTATATAAGGGAAGTAAATTTTATTTTTTTGGGGAATGAAGAGAAAATAATTATGTACTTTCTTTAATTGTATTATCAAATTACTTACAGAGTGACAGATAATACACTAGCACAGTAAATACTTCTAAATGTATTAAAGTAATAGATCAAGTTAAACTTCAAATGGTATTTTATGTTCTGTAACTAAGTGTTTGTAGCATTGATTTTGAGGGAGATAGACGAAAATACAAAAGGTTCTGTTTTGAGAAGTTAATGATCAAAAGAAGGTTTTCCTTAGATTGTGGTGCTTTTGCCTACTTAAACTAAACAAAATGATGTCCATAATGATAAATAAATTAAAGAAAACAAAACAAGTTGAAGTCAAAATTTGCATAACTTGTAATTAATTAGTTAATTAGTAGTTAAATGTGTTTTCAATGTCAGAGTAAAGAAAATAGAGCTGTGAGGTACATCCATACATCATGGATGTGAAAGCTGGCATGGTTCAAATACTGTAGTCATTATAAATACTGGCTTTCAAAGCATTTATCCATAGAAGTTTCGGTATGTTCGGTACGCTAGCTGAAAAGCTTCCTCACATGAAAGAATCCAAAGTCCCTGTCTGGATTTGAACCCACAGCGATGAGGGGCAAGTAGTTTGAAGTCAACAACACTCGGCTACGGCCGCCCCCTAACACTTAATGCCTGAGTATAGAGCCAGGGTATCCTGCATTGCTTTTTGGACCGATCAGACTCTATGGTATGGTGGTGGTAGCTGATATTGAAATCCCTTAAACTTCAAAATGGACTTTTCCAAATTCAAAGGAGAGCAGAACCATTTCACAAAATTAGCAGGTAATAAATAGTGAATAACTGAAGAGTTTGGATTGTTCCTTGTTATACATGCTCTTTAATATTTCAATGTTTTAATACATAATTGAACAAGGAATAAGGACTGTTACATAATTCTGCACACACCAAAAAAAACGGGAATGACAATTTTTTTTTAATATGGAGAAGTCATTATAAAATAACCACAGAGGAAAATGGGATAGAAATTCTGCATGATATATTCCAGCCATTTATCATTGAGCTCCCAGTTCTTCTCAAGTTACCCCTGCATGAAATTTGATGTTACTTATTAATTTTTTGTGGCATGAAATGCAACTCTTCAAAAGGAAAACTTCACTGGTGTGTTCAAGCCAATTCTAGTTCATTGATCTTTGGGAAGAGACTGAGATGGAAAATTTTGATTTATGATTATCATACAGAATCTCATGGAAACTCAGGGAATCATGAAAGTGATGATGGAAAAAAGCACTGTCGTGTACTTTTCAAAAAAATGGATTAATTTGATAAAGGATATATTTATTGGTTATCTTTAACTGCAGCTTTTGAGACGTTGAAATAATCTATGATTGTAGAAATGTTTATGTGTGTTGGCTTACATGTAGATGTATTTATACAATTAAGTTGGAGCTATTTTATAGTAGAATGTTACTTTTAATGTTTAAATGCCTCCAGGCAACTATCTGTTAATAAGTGATAAATATCCATGATTGTATTCTAGTATAAAATTAATTGATAATGTTAAAATATGTCTTAAAATATTGATGATGATGATGATGATGATGGGTGACATGGGCTAAAACTGTAGTTTATGATAATGATGATTACTTATAAATGTATATGATGATGGTGATGATGATAATGATGACAAAAAAAATGTTGATGATGAAAATGATGATGATTATGGGGCAGTGGAATAAGGCATTAGTTCATGATAATAATGATGACTTAAATGAGGATGATTATAATGATGACTAAAATGTAGTAGATGATGATAATGATGATTTAAAATGTTGTTGATGATGATGGTGGCAGTGGCAGATGATGAGTATTAATTATGTGATATTTTTCAGGTAATATTTATATCTGTTCAGAATGACAATAACTTTCATTTCAGCTGTCCTATGGGATTTATGTATATGGTAGACTGCATGATTAATAATTCATCCTTTTACTAAAGCTTTACACTGAAAACTACTAAAATGGTGTCAAATATAATCATCTATGTCTGACAGAATTCTTTTTAATAATTCATGGGTTTTTAATATTTATCCTATGGCATTCATTGTTGGAAATTTATTGTTTGATTATTGATTTGGTTTGTCAGTTTTAATATTGGAGAAGTGCTTGAATTTGAAGAATTAAAGAATATCATGACATTGTCACAGTGTGTGTGAATCTGCTGGATAAGCATGGTAGGAATAATTTTTAAGAAAAAAAAGGGATAATACAACAATAAATTCTGTGTTATAAGAGATGACACATGTTATTTTCTGTGGTAAGATTTGAGATTTGTTTTGATGTTGTTTTAAAAAATAATTTATTAATCTTGTGGATAAAATTTTTCTGAGTTTGATTTATGAGACTGACACATCAAAGTCATGAGCTGAATGAAAAAACATTATCTGTTTGATACACAGACACCCGCGGGGGGGGGGGGGGGGGGGGGGGGTAAATACCCTTCCCCTCCCCCCAGCATAGCCCCATATTCAACTATATAGGGCTCAGTAACCAGTATATTTATTGATAAATATAATTATAAAACTAGACTTGAAGCTTGTACATTCAGTGTCTATACTGGTTTTGGATCAATTTAAGCATTTTGAATAATGCAATTCCCTAAACAAGCCCTTGACGACACTGAAGACCTAGCCCTTGACAACATTAGAGACCAATTTCACATACTGGTAATTTTTAATACATTGGTTATAGAGCCATTATAGCAGTCGGAATCTACTGATACGTTTTATACATTGTATTATATTATTTAGCAAACTGGAGTGTTTATATAAAGTAGAGGGTTAATTAAACAACATGGGAAGAATGTTAATGATATTTAAGTGCTACATTATTATGGTACGAGGATAATTATTAATATTACAATAAGTGGACATTTTTTTCAATGTCACCCATATTGATATAACATTGCAGTTTTAAAGAGAAGAAACCATTTTGGCGAGTGAAATTTCATGACTTGAAATTGTATTGGGGTCACCAATTCACAGTCCTATTAACGCATGGGTTCTATTGAGGCTATACTTATACATGTGTTCAGCTACATGTAGTGCCTGAGTGTTAATACAGTGTGGGATATTTAGGTTCCATCCTGTATAATTAAAACTGGAAAGTATGTCATTCATTATTTAAGTTACACATTTCGTAATATAACTATTAATACTGATTTTTTTTGGTCTAAATTATTGTATTGAAGGAGGTGTATAAAGATTGTTAACCCTTAACCTGCTGGAACCAAAAGTTGTCAGCCATTGCCACCAGTATAGAGCCAGGTCATCCTGCAAATCTGTACAGTCTGACCAGGCTCTATACTGTTGGCAGCCTAATTTTTGTATTTTAATATTGAAATGCCTTAAACTTTGAATGGACTGTTCAAAATTCAAAGCATGTCAGGTTCATTATATTTTTCCAGGTGATGTGGCTTGTGGAGGTTCTATGGAGATGACAAAGGTTTTCACAGGTATGTTTATAGTAGGGCTGTCTTTGATAGAAAAATCAAAATTTTGTATCAATATATTGAGAGACAAATATCGAAGATATATCGACTTTAAAACATTTAAATATGATTGTGTAATAAATTGGAATCATGGTGTTATGCATGCTTGTATTAGACATTACATTTACTGCAAACTATTATCAGAAAGTTTGTTTTTTTCTTTTAATTTAAAATTAAAGTAAGCCAAGAAATCTGGAACAAAAGTGATTTCTCTTATTAGGCAAAATAGAGAGGTATATTCACTAACAATAAATAAATTATAGCTTGTATCGATATTTGAAAATGTGTATCGCTATATTATCTGATGATGAATATTGATGATATATCGATATTGTGATGTTCAGTAACAGCACTAGTTTAAAGTGAATAATGATTCATAATTAATAAAATTAACAGAAGAGATCTTGTTTTCGTTTTAAGTTAATAGGGCATATAGGCTTGAGACTTTTTTAAAATGAAAGAATTTTCTTGACTCGTCCCTTGGGTTCAAGATTTCAGGACCTTTTAAAAGACATTTTGGCCAATTTTACATGGTAAGCCATTTTTAAGTTGAGAGAAAGTAGACCATCAAGGATAAAGTTTACCAAGTTCTTATTTCTGTGTCAATATTTAATGAGATGACCATGTTGAAATACCAACTCTATAAGAAAGTTCTTTCATGTCACAGTAAGGCGGGCACCTTGTTTTTGCATGTCAGACAGGATTATCTACCGTTTACACCAGTGCTAGAAATCCCTGTCTTACACCCCCTATGTAAGACAAGTCGCATGCTTTAAATGACATCATTGTCGCGCGCCTTTTATGAATGAATTGTTTTCTTAGGATGACGTCACTTAACCGTTATGAATGAAGTTGTAAGTTCATTCGCTACTGTAAGAAAAAAGTGCGTAATGAAAAAATCAGTTTTCGTAATTTCTGCTCTGAAAATAATTGATATGTAATATGCAAGAAAAAGAATCAAACACCGGCTGTTGGTACAGACGGGAATATCTAGCTCTCAGGTAACTGTGTAAGTGGAAACTCGGCAGAGCCTCGTTACCGCCATAAACAGTTACCCTCAAGCTAGATATTCCGGTCTGTACTGAAAGCCAGTGTAAGATGCTTGTAAGATTCTCCGAGTGCACAATACAGTGTGGCGCTGACTGTTGGTTAGCCGTCCTGGCGTACAAAGTCGCAACTAAATAAATCAACTCAAACCTTACTATGTTAAATATCTGAAATGGACTTTTCCATTTTTGCAATCTGTCCAAACCATTTATCAATTTTAGGAACAATTTCAAAATATGTACTGACATAATAGAAAAAACAGTGCAGACTATAATCAGAGTGCACAGTGCCGGCTGCTCTTGGTCTTCACTGGTCGCATGTGTAGATTTGATCCCTGTCGTCAGGCTAATTGTGAATAATTTTGTTTTTCAGAGTTTTTGTTGAACTAGCGAAAAAAATGGCACACGTTTCTGCTGTTTGAAAAGATCTCATACTTTATACAGGGATAACTGCTCCAATAGTAACAAGATTTTACATCATTTCTACAAGAAGTGGACCACTGCCGCTTACTGTTCTGTGTTGCATTTATTAAGGGATTCTGTGTGAAAGATATCTGGAAAACTATAGGTAAATCTTTTTTCAGAAATTATTATTACCATTTTTGTGGTGGTATTTTAAAGTTTGACACAAAAAATGGTAATAAATAAGGCAACTTGCAAGCTTTACTAGTAGAGGAGGACCTTAGGTGATTCTCTGTGAATTACAAGTTTACAAAGCACTTAGTAGGAGGTGCTAGAAACCACTGACTTTCAGTTAGTGAGCTTGGTAGCTTTTTCGTGTGCAAGATTCTAAAGTCCATGGCAGGATTCGAAACCCCAAGAAGGTGAATCTTTCACTGCTAATAGATTTGTGAGTGAAATATGCTTGACATTTTACATAACCCATTATTTATAATTACAAAAAATAGGAAGGGCATATATTTTTGTCCAAGACTATTTATAATGTGTTATACTAGTGTGTACAAATTATATAGACAATTCAAAATTAACCAGATATTTCACCCTTGAACTAAAAATAGAGCACAACTGGCAGCCTGCAAATTTGCTTAATTTTGTATTTAAAATCCCTTACATTGTGAGGGCAAATTCATTACACAAATTTGTCAGGTAAAGGGTTAACGAGATGTTTTCAATAAAATTGTCATAATTCTGTATGATAATCTATTATCACAACATTTATTGCTGTCATACTTCTAATGAACGTTTAAAAGGTAGGTATGGTAATGAAGGCGTCCATGTATAATGATGTTTTAACATAGTTCTATTAGGATAATAAGACAGCTGATGCCCCTTATCTGACAGGTTGGTCACCAGATATTTAGCTTCAAGCTACAACCAATAAGCTTGGACATCTTTTTTGTTTTGTTTTTTTATTTTGTTTTTTTTCTTGTATATTGGGATTTTCCTTAATTTTTTTCTGTCATTTTTTTCCCCTGTCAACATAATTGTAATGGAGATTTTAATATTAATGTCTTTTTACTAACGGATTATTGGTTTCTAAATTAGAATCCAGTGAACATTAAGAAAATGGGATCAGAAGGTTAGATATTGCTTTAGTTTAATATATAGATTTTTTTTAAAAGGTTATATGACCAATGTCTAAAAAGTAGTTAATATATAGATTTTTAACAGGTTATATCACCAATGTTTAAAAAATAGTTTAATATATAGATTTTCAACAGGTTATATGACCAATGTTTAAACAGTTGATTAAAATGTGGATTTTTTTTTTTAACAAGTTATATGACCAAACAAGTTATATGACCAATGTTTAAATAGCAGTTTAATATATAGATTTTTTAACAGGTTATATGACCAATGTTTAAATAGCAGTTTGAAATATAGATTTTTTGGACAAGATAGATGACCAATGTTTAAATATTTTGAAGCTTATATAATTTTAAGAGCTGCTAAGCAATGGTTATATAACAAACAACTTTTTATAACATATCCATTTTATCTGTCATAAATGTTTAAAACAGATTTATTTTACTGCGCAAATGACTTTCTTTGATATAAAAAAATAGAAATTACTTTTTTGTTAATTTGCAACAGCTGGGTAAATATATACATGTATAATGTACATCACTACATGTGTATTGTATTGTACGTATAAAAATTTAAATTTTAAAATGTGTGCTTTATTAATAATGTTTAATTTAACCCTGACCATGCTAAATATTTAAAATGGACTTGTCCATATTTCATTCTGGATTACACCAGCCATCGTTTTTAGGGGAGTTTTCAAATTATTATACTAATTGAATGACAAACAAAGACCATGATCAGACTATATATGAGCCGCGTCACAACAAAACCAGCATAGTGGGTTTGCGACCAGCATGGATCCAGACCAGCCTGCACATCCGCGCAGTCTGATCAGGATCCATGCTGTTCGCTTACAAACACTATTACAAGTAGAGAAATTGATAGCGAACAGCATGGATCCTGATCAGACTGCGCGGATGTGCAGGCCGGTCTGGATCCATGCTGGCCGCAAACGCATTATGTTGGTTTTGTCATGACACGATATAATATGCCTTTTGACTTTGGTCTGCACTGGTAGTATATGTAACATTTTTTGCTTCCAGTAGAGTTAAAGGTAAACTTATACTATTTTAACGGTAGACATTTAAATATATGAAATCAAATTAGAAAGTAATAATGATATTTACAGTATATTTAGTTGTATTTTATCTTAATGTACATTGTATCTTTTGTTTATAAAAAAAATGAATCATTTTCCACTGAAATATATTCCTTGTAAAGACACATAAAAACCAATATTGTTATTGATCACCGTTTCTGCTTTGAATTTAAATTGTTTCATTAATTTGTTTTTTCCCTATATTGAAGATATATTTTTGCTGAGGCCCACATGGAAAATCGGGAAACCGAATGTATAAGCCTTGTTGAATAATGTTGTTACTTACTTACCTACCAATGTGTACGCAAACCTTTTTCAAATGTCTTTCCATGTCTCAGGTTTGGTAATTTTCTTTATTTAATTTGTCTATACCACTAGTAGTGTATGGGATGGATGCATGGTCTTATGGTAAAGGTGCATGCCTATTTACTGAAGAATACTTGGTTCGAGCCTCATTCATTCATGACCATGTTTATTCATTTGAATCCAGTATTGGTTTAATGATTTTTGAATGTAGGGAGTGTCAGTGGCTGAGTGGTTAAATTCGTTGACACAAAACCACTTGCCCCTCACCTCTGTGGATTCAATTCCCGACAGGGACTTTGGATTCTTTCATGTAAGGAAGAAATCCAGCTAGCTTACGGAATGTCAGTGGTTCTTCTCATTAGTCTGATTGTGCCTGAAATAATGTATGTAGGGGCATCTGAGGTCTTCCTCCATAAATATAGCTGGAACAGCGCGTATGACCTTAACAATTTTTCTAGTGCAACATAAAATCCAACAGAAATGAAAACAAAACGAAAAAAGTTCCAGAAAAAAAGACTAAATTGTGTTGCTAAAATAAATATTTTTAACTAAATAGACAGTCAGTAGAGCTGTGAAACAGTATTCTGAAGACCCTGAGTTCGAGTTTCAGTTAGGCTGCATGACCCTGTGACACACGAAAAGTAAAAAAGATATTATTGTGCTAACCTTATTAATTTTTTTTAAAGGTTTAATAGTCATAATTATGATTATGTAGGAAAGCTACGAAATATTCTTATTTTACTACTGTCATATCCCAGATCTAGAGAAATAAGTATTCATGATGTCAAATGATTTTAATTTAAAAACTTGTGACTTGGGGCATTTATTCCGTATGAAATTAATAATTAATACTGATATTATAGTTATTGGGAAAATGATGTTACATCAAGATAACTGCAGTTTTTCTTAAAACTTATTACTGTACTAATTAAACAACTGTGCATTTTCGTACTTTTGGGTCAAATTCAAGTCAGCATATTAAGGTCAATGATGCTATTTTATCCTCCCCATGGGCCTTGCCACCATTCCCCTAAAAGTGAAAAAAAGAAGAAAAAATGCATCTAATGATATAACCTTTTTTATAATTTAATATAACACAAATCTTGTATCTATTTTCATTAATGATTAAATACATGATTGTATTATATGTAACATATATAATGAGAACAGCAAGGTACTTGTAAGTTAAAGCCATCCAATAAGCTCAATAGGTAGAGCATTGGACTGTGAATCAGGCGACCTGGGTTCGATTCCTGGACTTCGCAGGTCACTTTCGTTGTGGTTGATTATGAAATTCTTTCTACGGTCATTCACACTGTATCTCTGCTCTGGCATGGACAGAAGTTATCAGTTCCTTGCAAAAGTGAAGGAAACAAGTACTGGTAAACTGCTTGACATCTTGCCCAGGAAAGACGCGACGCGGTGGCTAAACTGTGGTCTGGTAAATTCTATGTGACTCCCTGTCATGATTTAGAGGGTAAACTACTAACACCACAAATAACACTTGCTAGTTAGGCAATTTGATAATTATTGTAAGCTTGAAATAATATTTGGTTACGCAATCTATGAAATATTTTCACATTAATTATGTCACCCAGAAAATCTTGGTTTTAATTAACAAAATGAACTTTTTTTCCCCAATGAAATAAATTAAAAAACAAAAACAAAAAACAATCCTAAAACAACAATGTAATTGATCACTTAGTTTCTGCTATGAATTTAAATTATTTCATTAATTTGTCTTTTCTCTGTAGTGAAGATTTCTTTTTCATTCCACATGCGCACAAAAAACATTTTAAACTTGCCGTGCCTCTGGTTTGTTGATTTTACTGTGAAACTGGTCCTTTAATATGTGACGATTTCAGCAGTGTAAAAGATGGAATTTAATATTTATTAATACAAGACCATACAACAGTGTCAGGGAAGAAGCATTGACCTCGCGGTTTAGTTGTTAGCCTCCTAATTCAGGGACTGTGGAGTTCGAACCCTACTGGCCACAACCATGTTTCTTCAAGTGCCACCACATTGATTTAAGTTCCTGGAATGGGAACACAAAAATGGTTTAAATAAACTCCACAGTTTCTTCAGAGTCAGACTTGAATAAGTAATGTTAGATTTGAGGTTAGAAATATGAAAATTATGAATTGATAGTGTTGTCAGTACAAATTAAATTTTACAAAAACTACCTGTCTTTTTTGTGACATCGTGATGGTTTATGGTCTAATCTAATTAATTGCTTTCCATTTATTGCCTTGGGGATTTCTTAAATTTCCTAAAAAAATCGCCTTATCATTTTCAATTGTTTTTGATTTTCTTTGACATTCTGTTGAAGAATAGTTTGAATTTTTGGTATAAATTTTCACATTTTTCTCTTTTTCTTTTTCTTGTACAATGAATTGTGAATATTGTACACGAAGAAATGATGTTGAATTATGGGTAATGTGTTATTGTCAGTGTAAAATTGATCGTTTGAATAGAAACAGTAAAAAACTGTTAGTTGATCATAAATCAGTATCAGATTGTTTGTAGATGTAAAGGGATATTTATTAAAGATAACAAAAGTAAGTTCACTTATTGTTTGACAGTGATGTATTTAGAAAATTGAAATGTGATATAATGAATGGTGGATTTCAATAGAACTAAACGTAAATGCTATAGAAGATATATATAACTGCTAGTATCTTGTTTTTAAAGTGGCCCTCAACTTTTATTTTTTTTGTTGGAAAAACAATTCTGCATTTGTTTGAAACTAAGTATTTCATAATTTTTGTTTGTTTGAAAAAAGGCACCATATCACTTCAAAACAGCATCCTGGGAGCTATTTAAAGCGCACCCGGAGTGTCTTGTTGCTAAAAATAAAAGATTGGTTATAGAGAATCTTCCGCTTTCCTAATTAGAATATATATGTAGTGACCATACTGGTAGATCAGAGGTGTCTTACGGTTTCCTTATTGTTTATGTATTGTATTTTATTGACGGCTATTTTCATGTTCCACCTTAATTCTTTTTATTTCACAGTTATATGAAACGATGTATCTAAAAACAATATATTTAACCTTAAGAAAATTTGAAGGCTGCTTTAAGATATTTTTAGTGAGGTTATTGAAATCAATCTTACAGTTGTTTTCTAATTGTGTAAAATTTATTAATTTACTGTAGTCAAGAAATAACTTAATTTTAAAACTTTGTTGTAGGAAAAGAAAATACTTTGATAACTTTTTGCTACCTTTGTTACAAATTATTTCACATTCAGTGATATTTTCTTCATCACTTACGTTCATATACAATGTAAATCAATATTACAACATTATAAAACACATTTTCTCTTTCTACAGTAGAGAAAAAATTATTCATATCTACCGCTTAATTAACAATACAATATTAAATGTAAAAGCACATTCATTCATTTTAATGTATTGATATTTATTTTTTCAGGTAACGTGTCACTGCGAGAGATATCAGCTAAAGATAATAGAATTTTTAATTGAAAATGATTATATCTGTACGAATCTAGTCACATGACTGTTTGAAGAATTAATATAATTATTTCACCAATACAAAACCTGTAAGAAATGCCAAGGATGTCGCGGAAAGCACTAGGGTATATGTTTGTGATATTTTTACTGTGTTTTATGCTGATGTATCGCAACCTGCCGTGCGAACAGCAGAGTAACTATATCATGGTACCGAAAGGAGAGCGTATGATATACGACCGTAAACAGCAGGCTATTCCTTATCATCGAGAAATGCCGTTAATATTTATCGGAGGCATGCCTCGGAGTGGGACGACTTTAATGCGAGCGATGTTGGATGCTCATCCGGAGGTGAGATGTGGAGAAGAGACGCGCGTCATTCCGAGACTTTTGGGTATGCGTACGAACTGGGACAGATCAGCGATTGAAAAACAGCGTTTACTTGAAGCAGGGATAGACGACAAAGTATTAGACTCGGCTTTATCAGCGTTTATTTTAGAAATTATCGCATTGCACGGAGAAGCAGCTCCGTATCTGTGTAACAAAGATCCATTTACCTTGAAATCCAGCGTTTATTTAAGAAAATTATTTCCTAATGCCAAATTTATTTTTATGATACGAGACGGCCGTGGGACTGTGCATTCAATTATATCTCGCAAAGTGACAATTACGGGTTTCAATTTGAACGACTATAGGCAGTGTTTAGCCAAGTGGAGTACTGCTATGGAAATGATGTATTCTCAGTGTTTACAAGTAGGCGCGGACCGGTGTATGCCAGTTTATTACGAACAATTAGTTTTACAACCAGAATTGTGGTTAAAACGTATCATCAAGTTTTTAGATATTCCATGGAATTCATCGGTGTTGCATCATGAAGATTTCATCGATAAACCTGGTGGAATTTCTGTTTCAAAGTGAGTACCAGTTTTTCAGAAATATCTTTTTTTTCAGTCTAGCATATGATAAATGTTTTTTTAAACTGATGGATAGATTACTCTAAATTTTACAGATAGCCTTTTATGATATTGATTTAGCAACAATAAAATTTTTTGTTTGTTCTGAAATTCATGATGTAGCAATGTTTCCATTCTTATACCATTTGAACCGAAACCATTTAGAATTAGAACCATTGAACTATAAACTATTTAAAATTAAAACCCTTTTTTTGAATTAAAAACAATTTTGAACTAAAAACTATGTAGGTGACTGGGTTATAAAATTAATAGAAGAGACTAAATATAAAAAATTTGAAAATTTTCTTAAAATAATTTGTTAAGTTTTTTTTCCTGCCATATGCATTTTGAAATTAGCCTGAGGAACAAAAATGCTCCTGACAATGGCGTCTCAAAGTTATTAAATAAGGAAATGAGTTTTAATTTTGGTTTTGAAAAAGTAAAATTTCTTAAAATGGCTTTGACATTGCATTATTGTTCTCTTGTTGTTGTTGTTTTTGTGATTGCCAAAGGCGATATGTCATGATTATTACAGTTTGTTCTCATTAGTTAAGTTGACAATGAATAATGAAATACTTACACAAACAAATAAAACTTGTGCATAAAAGTCTTTATCCTCTCTGGTGTGCGTAGTAGAAAATCTTCTTTGTTATATCTACCATCATACCTCCAAATCTGGATAATGGATTTGCCCCGGTTTGAAAATTGAAATTGCCTGTACAGGACTTTTTTCCCTGCTATAGCAAGGCCGTTCAAGGATGGCTTCCCCAAAGAAAATTTTTTTAAAATCATGCAGTTAATTTTCTCTCAAAATTTTATTAACATAAAGTTTTCCTTTTCCTTTAAGGGCAGGGCTGCTTCCCCAATCTGTGAAAAAAAAGGTCTGCTATTAATAATTTAAGGGATGCCAGCAAAATAGATCTGGTCTGAATGCACAGGTAATTAAGACTTACCTGGCACTGTACTCTGGTGGAAAGGGACTTGATCTTGTTATTTTGTCCCATAAATGCTAAAAGGGACTAAATGGCCAGCCTTTCTCTTTGATTATACAATGTATAGTTGAAAAAGTTATAATTAGATATGAAGATGGATTGTAAAATTTTTAATTTTATTGACACTTTTATGTTTAGGCCTGTTTTTAAAATGGGCTAGTCTTGAAGTGTAAACACTGGCCTGTACAACTAAGAAGATGGCCATGAGTAAAATGTTACTGGATTAATCTTACAGTATGGATGAATGAGTTAACAATCTTTGAAACTATCAAATTTAAAAGTGATTATTAACAGTTTTAAGCTGCATGACTTAAAATCATGCAACCTATAAAATTGTACTAAGATTTTAAGAAAATTAAAAATATTCACAATTTAAGAAGTAATTAAAATGTAATATGCAATTAATGACTGATTTTGGAGTATTTATTACCATATTTCTACTGTGTGACTAACACAGTCAGGGATATTTTTGCAAATTCTGGTTTGGTACTTGATAGATAGCAATGTGTAAATTATTTTCTTTGTTCATTTGACAATATTCTACTTTTAAAAACATTTTAAAAATTTTCATGAAAGTTAGCATGTTAAAATTCAGAGGCATGCTGCTTTAAGATTTGTGTATATATTGAATATTATTTCCAATGTGATGAAAATTTGTATTTTATTATTCAAAATATGATTGAATTTTCTGTTTTTATTGTACCGTATTTCTAACTTGTCACAAACATAGCTAATTGTGTATTTGGACACACATTACTGAAAAAGTTTGTGGAAAGTCAGTGCCTGAGGCTAGCTTAATAAATGACTTTCTTTGTTTTTTGTGACAATATCTTAAAGTTTTTAGTGTTTTGAACAATTTCTAAATCTTCATGAATATTTACATCTTACAAGTGCTGTTAAGCTTCAAAGAATGCATATTAGGTGTTAAATATTAAAATATATAAATCGTGAATAAACAATAAAAAAATGTACATGTACATGTGTGTGAGCAAATATGTCTTAAAATGAAAGGTTTTGAAGTTTAATTGCTGTATAGTTCAGTATAAAAAATAAACAATAAAAAACATCCAAGTAAACAATTCATGATAATAAAAATAAAAATGCTGTTTTCATTAACATTTAGCAAGGGAGATAATATATATATTTTTTTACATTTTTCAGAACAGAAAAATCATCAGACCAGATTATCAAACCAGTTAATCTGGAGGCATTGAATAAGTGGGTAGGTCATATACCTGACGATGTGGTTAAAGATATGGCCAAGGTCGCCCCTATGTTACGCACCTTGGGTTACGACCCGGATGCCAATCCTCCCAACTATGGCAAACCAGACTCTAAAGTTGCAGATAATACGTTACATATACAGCAAAACGTTGAATTCTGGAAACAGAGGGAGGAGGAGTTATTAAAACGTGATAAACCTCCGCCACGACGAGCTCCCCCTGGTGGTGTCAAGCCACCATTTGATGGAATGGGACCAGATGGCCCTTAAAGGTTCAAATGTCACGATACTATATTGTTAAACAAACAACCCCAAATTATTCTTAATCAGCTTGTTTTGTTTTCTAAGAACTTAGGTTTTACTAATTTTCTTAGTTTTGTTTATTTTTCTTTAATTTGTGCATTTATTCGATGACCACATTTATCCTTTCTGTTTATTTTTCCTACCGCAATTTTTGTTTATGTTGACATTTTTTACATAAATAACAAGGTTATTAAATTATGTTTTTTTAGCAACAGCGAAGTATAAATTATAATTGATGTCACTGGGTAGGGACTGGTAGTTATCAGATGAAAAAAACAACAACAAGTTATCTTTCTATCTTTATGTAACTGTTTCTACCCTGTTGAAGTGGTTAATTAAATTCTTTTGTTGTCATTACTACTTATCTATATAGATAAATTAGGTTTATATAATACATTTGTAATAATTTTTGAATATGTTCGCATAAGATCTGTTATAATTAAGAATAAGACTGTGTTTCAGTTGTAAAACAAAGTACATTGTACATCTAGAACTTAATGAATTTTCATATTTATACGCTTTTTAGATAAATTGATGTGAACTGCTTTAGCTAAAAAAGGTCTTAATTACAAACTAAATACAAATTTATGCTGAATTACCATATCTAATTATGAACGCAGCTAGATTTATTTTCTTGTCATCCATCTAAAATTAACTAGCATAAAAGATGTTTTAATAACTTTTTAATTACTTAATTACATTTTTCGTTATGTTGTTTTGTTTATAAATTTTTGTCCTTTTTGTTTTAGTTAAATCCGGTTAGGATACTGACAAAAAAAGATTCTGTCCCTGCGGCCAGTGCAGACCAAGATGTGCAGACCAAGGTTGGCCCGCATGTCAGTGCCATCTGGTCATTGTTGGCACTGGTCGCTATTCGGTCAATACAAATTTTCCCTAAAAATGATAAATGGTCTTGTCCAGATTGTAAAATAGACAAGTCTATTTAAGATATTTAGGTTGGTACTATAAGGATATTATTTAAATTTTTTGTTGTAAATCTTCATTTAGGATTTTCATACATAATTACAATGTTTTGTAATAACATGTAAAACATAACATATTAAAATGAATGACTCTCATTAGGGTGACTGGCTAAGATGGATTGAAATAGACAGATCACCTCAATATTTGTTTATTATTGTAACCTTAGTTTGTATGTCCGACAATTACTAGTACATACCGACGATATGACGTTTCAAAATGAAATATTATCATTTCAAACAATTGTTTAAGATTTGTTAGTATTAGAAGATAGATATTAAGTTTAAATTTTAATAAAAATTATTCTTAGTTTAATAATGATGAAACCTTAGGAGCACATTAACTTTGTCTAAAAATTGTTTGTCTAGAAAATGAGCACATTAAAATTTTGTTTGTTTAGTACATGTTATATGTCCCCTCGTTGCTTGTTGTTTTTTTTTTTAAGGAAATATGATTATGCCTCCATTTGTCCTTGAATGTTGTACTCATCTCTCATCTTAAACAATTAACTTGATATACAAAAAAATGTATTCTTTCTAAAGAGAAAATTTTCGTATAGCTGGTCCCTACACAAAGGATAAATTCATTTTAGAAATAGGACTTGAGGTATTTTGATTTAAAACAGAATGAAACCTAATCTACAATTTGCATATTTATACTTTTGTGTTCTTCACTCTTTATGGATCCCAACATTTCTAGATGATTTTTTTTCCTTTTCTTGAAAAAGACGCCATCCTAGCCAAATATATTTATCAGTTTGTATTGAAGCAGCACGCCTCCAGATTCATGCTAATTTTCATGAAAATTTTGTAATTGTTTTTTAAAAGTAAAATGTTATGAAGTAACCAAAAGAAAGCAATCTACACATTACAAATATCACTAACAACCCAGGTAAATAGCCAAAATGTGGTAAAAATATTCAAAAATAGCATTTACTGTGTTAGTTAAGCAGTAGAAAATTTAATATGGTTATATAGATACTGAAAAATCAATCATTAATCACATTTAAAATGTAAATTTTTACTTAAATCTTTAATCTTTTTACTTTTCCCTAAAATCATAGTACATTTTTCTGGGATTTGATTTTATTGAACTATTTTTGGCGCATCTTGAGGCATGCAGCTTTAAAAGCTTAATATTATTTATTCAGACACTCTAATTAAATCACTTGTCCATCAAGGCACATTCATAAATCAAATTTTTAATGAACCTATTTTGAAATTGCCCTGATAATAATATAATGATAATTGTTACAATCATTAAGTTGTTTGAATCATAATTGAGCCGTGTCATGACAAAACCAACATAACGTGTTTGCGACCAGCATGGATCCAGACCAGCCTGCGTATCCGCGCAGTCTGATCAGGATCCATGTTGTTCGCAATCAGTTTCTTTACTTGTAATAGGGTTGGTAAGCGAACAGCATGGATCCTGATCAGACTGCGTGGATGCGCGGGCTCGTCTGGATCCATGCTGGTCGCAAACCCATTATGTTAGTTTTGTCATAACACAGCTCAATTATTTGGTTAAATCATATTTTTGTGCTAGAATTGACTGAAAGTAGCCCTGAAAAATTAATAATGTTGTTTTAATCATTTTAGTTTTTTGATTGAAACATATTATGTAATGTAGATTCATGTACAAAAATGTATGTATAAAGATGCTCTAATATATCCATGTGTACAACTAGTCATTTATGTAAATCAAGACAGAAATTGACGGTGAAATTTCAGGAGTATAATTATAGTTTAAAATGTTCACAATCATATTATATTATGAAATTTTTCTTCATGTAAGAGATATTAACATTTATAGTTACATTACCTTTAACCGGCTGAATTTTTGTAATGGATAGCTTTATATTTGGAACAGTCCATTCAAAGTTTAAGGGACTTCAAAATACCGTACACAAATTGAGCTACCAACAGTATAGAGCCTGGTCAGACTGCACGGAAGTGCAGGCTGGCCTGGCTCTATACTGGTGGCCGAGGCTAAATCCCTTTCAGTTTCAGTGGGTTAAGGGTGAATCATGTTGAATTCTGTGTTATACTTACATCACTACTCATTATGTCAGCTCATTATGAGATTTTTTTATTATGCCCCCGCCATGTAATGGAAATGGTTTGTGTTAACATTGAAAAGTTTTAAGGGCTTTGAACTTAAAATGAAAAAAAAAAATTAATGCACCATCTGAAATTTTGGCTGCATGCGGGGGCATCCGTGGCATGATGACACATTTCTAGTTTTGAAAGCTTTACTTAAAATCAGCTACTTATTACACTAATTAGTCCCAGTATATACAAAAATTTATTATATATAGATAATTGAATGTTTCTGTTTTTTTTTGGATATAGAATGAATGAGTAGCAGCCAGGTACCAGTATATTGGGTATAATTCTAGCTGGTACCCTGGATTAAACAATTGGTTACCCTTTGTCTATATTACTGTGATTAATAGTAGAGTACAGTATGCCCAAAGTGTAACCAGTTTTCCACAAGAAAAGTTTACGTAGGAGCATTAAGGGGTCCTTTTCACTTGTATCTTTTGACTAAAATGCAATTAAAATCTTGTTAACATTACAAAGGTTACAGGCATGTTCCTTGAGAATGCTGGAACCGAATGGTGCCACATATTATCAGTAAAGACCCAGGCCAGCCGTTACATCATGCAGTATGACTATGTGCAGTACTGCTTTATGATCAACTCAAATTTTTATCATGTAATCCCCAAAATTTGTAAATGGACAATTCCAAACAGTAAAAGTTGATAAGTCCATTTAAGGGTTATATTAAATTGTATATTGTCATCTTAGTGCAGTAAAGGGTTAACTTCTGTTCAGTTATACAAGGAGTTAATCTGTAACTGCACTTCAAGGTGACGATATGTTATTTTAGATAGGAGGGTATTTTTAGTGATATAATTGATAAAATATGATCTCACCATCCATTGATGTAGGTTAGATCACTAGTTTTGTCATCTGATTACTCTACTGTACACATGTGAAAAGTTGACCCTTTTGCTGCCAGAGTATTAGTTACATAATTTAAAGGTATTTACCTGAGATATTTCTAATTATTACAGTATATATAATCAGTTCAATAAAAAGAAACGCTTTTCTTTAGCTTTCGACATATTGTCTACTTCAGACTATCATACTATAGAAATTTTTATAGATGAAATATATATAAAAAAACTAACGTTTTCTATGTAAGATATTGATTAAAGTTAAGATAAAATGGCTTTTTTTCCAAAACAATATTGTAGAAATGAAAAAAAAGAAGATATAATTCAATCAATAATCAGATATTAATGAGGTATACCATCTTGTAGGCAAATACATGCTACTGTGATTGGGAGGGATATACTTATTGTGCTGGCAGCGAAAGGGTTTGTAGACTTGCCCATTCATTATCAATGTAATACTGAATATATATACAGTTTTGTAAACAGAATCAATAATTCATGATGATATATCTAAATCATGTGAACATTTCAAAGTTAAATGATAAATTTGAATCTATTGTTGTGTATGATAATGAAATTTTAAGTTTTACGCATATTCAGTTCTAAGTCCTGTGTAAATTTTGTAAATGATTCTCTTTTTTTTTGTGACCATATATAAGTGATGTATTTACAATGTGCAATATAATCATGTCTTATATACATGTATTTGTACTGTGCTTAATGAAGGTAGCCTGCATAGTGTCTTAGTGCATGAAAGATGTTTGATTTGTGGGAAATTCCATTGGTATGGTGGCCATGAATCTTGGTGTGTGTGTGTGTGTTTATATGACTAACGATTTGAGGGCATTACAAGGTGTGTGTGTATGTGTACATTGTGAGGACATTACAGTGTGTGCATGTGAACATGTTAGCATGTATGTGTGTATGTGTACTTTGTGAGAGCATTACAAAGTGAGTGTGCATGTGAACATTAAATTGTGTGTTAAGAAAAAAGGTTTATTTTAAGCATATAATGAATGATTTGAAGGGAGAATGCTATGTGTTAAACTATTTGGGACCAAATGAATATCTAAATATCTAGTTGTGATACTTATATACTCTTGGATGAATGGACTGAGCTTTTTTTCTCCCCTTAATGAAATTGCAAGCTGTTAGATTCTTGTAGTAAGAGAACAAAAAAAAAATCAAAATTTCTTAATTTGATATTAGATATTTTAGTTAATTCAGCATTTCTGTAACCATGTAACTAAATTAAGCTTTTACAGTTTGAATGCTATTGGGGATATTGACTGCCCTATGCCATCAGCCAGACTGCACTAAACATGCCCGTCTGCTGCACACTATACATGCCGTCTGCTGCACACTAAACATGCAGTCTGCTGCACACTTAACATGCGGTCTGCTGCACACTTAACATGCAGTCTGCTGCACTAATGTATCAATATCCTTTACATTTACATTAACAATTGACTATTTCAAATTCAAAGCAGGACTAGTCCATTATACAAATTTAGTGAGGCCAGGGGTTGAAAATATACAAAAATTGGCAACCATTCTGTCAAATTTTTATAGACTGGTACAACAGCTTTTATTATGTTTTCATGATAAAATAAATTGCTCAAGTATTTCTACTTAAAACTTTATGTAATTGTATATATTATATTTATGTATTATAAAGAAATATATGTAGATTTTTATTAATATTTTTTAAAGGAGGTCTACATTTTTCTATTTTAACATTTGCTTATACATGCATACAACAGTTTTGTTTCTTTAGATCAAAACATGGTAGATAAATGATTTTGTTTTAATATGTTACCTGGTACTGTAGAATTGAATTAGAGAGAAAACGGTGTCCTCCTTTTTGAATGTTTATTCATAATGCTCATTTGTTTTTATAGCAGTGTTTTGTTTTTGTTTAAAATGATCAAAGAAATCCTTGAAAAAAATCATATTTAATGAATTTATTTAGGTTTATGTTTAAAAGCCTTGCTTGCAGATTACTTGCAACTGACTTGCTTATTTACTTGCATGTTTATTTGTTTACTTTCTTGTATATCTTAAATTGATTTTTGTTTTGGATATAGATATATCTGTATCTTGAAGAACTCTAGAAACAAAAATATATAATGAAATAAAATATACCGTAATATTTTGATTAAACATTTCAGTCAAAAACTGGGAAAACAGTTGAAGAAATCTACAATGGGCATACTTTTTAAATGTAACTCAAATATCTAATAATAAAGTCTTTATTTAAATCTGAAATGTGAAAATGGCCAGCTTTTATAGTTTCTAACAAATTATGGACAGAAGAGTTATTTCTTTCAAAGCTAAGGCCTTCCTTAAAAGTGGCCTGCTGACAAACTGCTTGCCGCATTTATGACAAAACTTATCTTGAATTTAAAATG